AAAAATGTTTGCATGCCTCCCCCAAAAGAAAAATCTAAAGGGATAGGTGAAAAATGCTAAAATTATAGGTGATTTAAAATATTATTTTTCCTTATATTCTTCTGTTTTCCTTTTTAAAAAAAAAGCAGTTCATTCATTCAACTAAGATATATTGAGTGACTATGATGCTCCAGCATCTTCCTGAGGGTTGTTTGATGTATATATATATTCATCAAATATATTCAAAAATATATTATGTTTTAAATATATATTTTAAATATATTGTTTTAAAATTTTTTAAATTAAAAAATTATTTTGAATTGAAGTTGTCTAACCAACACCTTATTTCATAGATAAGGAAATATTGACAACCCTGAGAGAAGTGACTTGTCCAAGGTCACACAGTCAGCCCACATAGCTCCTGAAGGCCAGCCTGGAGCTCAGGCAAGCAACAGAAAAAGGGAGTTGGTTTGCAATCAAGACTTCTGAACATAGCTCTTCTACAAGGTGAGGAAGCTCTATGAATACAATAAATATGTGCTTAGTCACGCGTATTATACTGCCTTGTATAATACATGTCATTTTACAAAAAAGTTCCAAAGCAAAGTATAATTTCCTTTCTCAATAATTTTGAGAACTTTTTGTCCTTTACAAAAAAGAGAAAGAAAAGAAAAGAAAGATAGAAAAGAAAAGCGTCCTGAATGTTTTCCCAATTTTTTAAAAGATAATCCTTCTGCCAGCTACTGACACTGCCCAGTTTTTAACGTGAGTCCACCCACTCCAACCTGCATATATGTCTAAATATAAATACACATATTTGAAAACTCACTGAACTCTTGTAATTCACTCTCTAATCGCAGGATGTAGTAAACGCAAAGTCATAATTACTTCAAGTTTATTTAATTCACAATATCCATTGAATAAAAAAATCCCATTGTCCTTGCTCATGGATATTGAATTACTGGAAGTCCACTGTACGTGTAGTACAGACCAACAAAATGAAATATGAGTTCTTTAAAGCAGAACATTATTTTCTTTAGTTACATCAGATAGAAAGCTTTTACCTGTAATTAAGTAAATACGTTATAGGCTTTAAACCAACCTGACATGAATTAGATTTATAAAATATGTAACCTTTAGTTGACCTATATTTCATTTTTTAAACTGGGTCCCCTCACAATCTAGTGATCAATAAATAGAATACCACAAACAGTATCCCTTCTATTTGTCAGGTATTATAAATGATCAGCCTGGTGGATGCAGAAAACAAATAGCTATTGGTCTAACTGTAATGGCTGGATTCCTTGTCCTCCACAACATAACCTTTTGGGGCCCATCTCCTAAAAGCATGATGTATTATTTTTACTTTATTGCTTTCTGTACTTAAGGTACCCACATCTGTACCCTTAGAGATCATGTGGCTATAAATGCATGTGGCTACAAAGGACTAATACCTTCAATGTGTATTTATTTTGATACCCTTAACTGCCTCCAGCTTTGGGAAGGTTAAGGGTTACTATATTTCCTAACGATGGCTCAGCTCTATTTTTGAGAAAATCCATCTCAATATTAACACGCAATTCACATGGGCTTTCTCATCCATCACTTGCCACCCTGACAATTTGGAACATTAGATAGAACCTAGTAGGTAAGAACTTCAGTAATGGAGTCAGCCAGTACTGAATTTGAAGAGCCACTGGGCCACTTACTAGGTGTGTGACCTTAGGCAGGTAATTTAAGTTTCAGTATAACGCACAACTTAGCATGGTGCCTAGTATGTAGCAAGTCTTGATAAAATAAATGTTACTTAACAGAAGATATTGCTTAACAAAAATGTTACTTAACAGAAGTCTTTTCCAAGTTTAATATATATATGACTAGCATTTACGAAAGACTTCTTTGTCCCTAATTCCCCAAACCAGAGACCTACCAATATTGCCATGGCAATTACTGTGAAGACTAGAAAAGAAGACAGAATAACTCCATAATGCCCTCCTTCTAGAACTTGGGACAATACTCTAATGTTTGTTTATCTATATTTACCTATCTGGTTCCCTTTATGGAGCCTCCTCTGTTTTGGGGGGTAGAAGTTGTTATCTCCTGGAATCCAGTCAACCAATTTTTAAGGTGGACTTTTGCACCTCACCCTCTTTGTGAGTACCATTTAATATTTAACAGGAATTTGGTATTTACTAAACCTTTGATCTTAATATCTCTGCCCATATTCTTTTCTGCTTAAAATCCTAAGCTCATGAAGAATATGTTTTTGTTTAATGTTTTGGCAACCTTTAAGTACACAAATGCCTAGAGAATCAGCTGGTAGATAAGTCTTTTCAGATGCTGACAACAGACAAGGACATGCCTTCTAAGTTAGGAACTAGAAATCTCTCTCTGCTAGAAAATTCCAAATGGCCAAAGAACAGATATTAGACTAAGGTGCACTGTCCAGGGCCTTGGGCCATTCATAGATAATCTCGAGAAAAGGAGAAAATGCCCCTCCCCCACAGCATTCCAACCTTTTCTTCTTGGCTGCTTTATCTGAAACCCTGACGGAAGAAAAAGAAATGAAAGCTACAAGAAGGAGGGAGGGAGGAAGGAAGGAATGAAGGAAAGAAAGAAAAGACCACAGCAATACATTGAACTTTCAGAAGGAGAGAACAAATCTAAGGATACTAGAGATGGGGGGGAGGGAGAGAGGGGGTTTGGGAAGTGATAGGTCAGGTAAAGGGCATAAAGAAATATCATAATTTGTAAGAATAATTTGTAAGAATGAAATACATATTTGTAAGGCTAATAATAAATAATAATAATTTTTTTTAAAAAGCTACAAGAGGGAGAATGATGGTAGTGGGCCTGGCATGATGGTCAGAAATAGCAGCTCAGGCCGGCCCGGTGGCACACTGGAGAGTGCGCCTCCGGCTGAGGGTTCGGATCCCATGTGGAGACCGGTTCCCGCTCACTGGCTGAGCGTGGTGTGGGCGCAACACTGAGGGTTGCAATCCTGTTGCCGGTCCCCGGTACAGGCGTGACACCAAAAAAAAAAAAAAAAAAGAAATAGCAGCTCTCCACCTTGCAAAGGGGTAGGCAGGTGTTCAATGGAATTCCCTGCCATTAGCAAAGCACTTTGTCAATGAGTCTGTGATAACAGAAATTGCTTGCGCTATGACTGAAAACAGCAGGTTACAAAATTTTATATACAGGTATACACACACACTCATACACACATGCTCAATCCGATCCCAATTATGTAAAATAAAGCCTATTAAAAAGCATAAAGGCAATACACCAAAACACTGAGTGTCATTGAGAGAAAGAGTATCAGTCATATTCTCCTTTTTTCTACTTTTCTATTGTTCTTTCCAGTTTTCTATAATCATGTACTGTTCTTTTTTTTTTTTTTTTTTTTTTTTTTAAAAGATGACCGGTAAGGGGATCTTAACCCTTGATTTGGTGTTGTCAGCACCACGCTCAGCCAGTGAGCGAACCGGCCATCCCTATATGGGATCCGAACCCGGGGCCTTGGTGTTATCAGCACCGCACTCTCCCGAGTGAGCCACCGGGCCGGCCCAATCATGTACTGTTCTGATAGCTGAAAAATTTATTTAAAATGTAAAAATCAGTTCATTAAAATTCAGCACATTTTACTTTTTAGCAAATGGGGAAAATGAATATTCAATACAAAGTTTGCCAGTTTTCAAAGCAGATAATGATCTGTCTTACAAAGGACGCTATTGACCTGATGGTAAAGGTGGATAACAGTAACTAGGAAGAAGCTTTCCATGTTGATTTGAGCAGCCAGCCCCAGATCCTTTTCTCTGGGTCAGATCTACCTGCCTTTCTTTTTCTGTTAAACATTCTGGCCAGTCACAGATAATTGGGGGACGTGGAGGGGGAGAGGTGTAAGGAGAGTAAGACTGTTAGAAATCAGCACTGCAATCGTCAGAACTGCTTTGAAAGACTGCCAGCTTCCACCTCGACTGAGTAGCTGGACTCGTCTCCCAGATAAAGGCCTGGGCCTCGGGAAGACCTCGCCTACACCCTTGGGCGAAGAGCCTTGGCCTTAAGGATATCAATACATACATCTTCACTTTGGAAGGAGCCATTTCTCTCAAGCACGCCCAAAATGCAAGACTCAAGGAAGGTCTGGGTTTGGCTTAGCCGAAAGCACTGAGAAAAGAATGTTAACTGTGTTCTTGTAAAGCTGCCCTGTTAATCTCCTGATCTTGTTTCCAGGAGCTTTGGGGAAGCGTTTCAGGCTCCTCTCACTGATGTGAGCTTCCAGGCCTTTGTACCTAGAGAACCCGAGCCTCCCTCAGCTGGGGCTCTGTGATCCAGCTGACCTCCCACAAGATGAGCAAAGCTGCGAATTCTCAAGCAGCAAGAATCGGGTCTGTATTTCACGACCCTGGGGCAAGAGGGTCTGAGAAGAGATGGGGCGAGGTTGCCTGGGTGTGAGTGTGTGCTGGGAGATCATTTCTGGAATGTTTCCTCTTCGATATCCTGGTCAGGGCTGTATTTTTTCTACTGAAGCGGGGAAGGATCGGGGTAGGGGTGGACTCAGTGGGTTTCCAGTCCACTCAGACCCCACCATAGTGCAGACGAGCTACTAGGTGAATGGATTTTTCATTTGGTTTTGTCTGCGGGTGGAGGGTAGGGAGGAATAGCTGGAGTGTCTACTAAAAACAAATTCTATAGACATCATGGAAGATTTGTGGACTTCCACAGAGCACCAGTGAAAATAGGGTTGGGGGTATGGGGGAAGGTATGGGGTGTAGACAAATGAGGGTAAGGGAATAGATTGCCTTAAAATTAGCCAAAGGGAGGGGTAGAGGGCGTCTGGTTTAGCCAAGCCTGGGATGCTACGGAGAAGGGGCGCCTGGAAGGGACCTCCTCACTGGGCATCCTAAGCGCAGCCCCACGCCCGCTCGTATCGCTGCCCGCCCGGTCCCTCCCGCAGCGCAGGTGCCAGCTGGTCCCACCCCGCAGCCCTCCCGGGGTGGAGGACGCGGCGGGATGGGTACCTTGGTGCCCTGGTGGAAGTCATCGACGGCGCACGAGCCCATGAAAGGGAACTGCATGTGCGTGTGAGTGTCGATGCCGCCGGGCAGGACGAGCTTGCCGGCGGCGTCCAGGACCCGCAGCCCCGCGGGCGCGCCCCCGGGCGGCAGCAGGTCCTGCCCGAGAGCCCGCACCACGCCGTCCTCCACCAGCACGTCGGCCACCTGCGAGAAGTCGTCGTTGACCACTCGACCCCCGCGGATCAGGAGCCGCGACGGCGCCGCCATGGCGGGGCACGCCTGGGGTCCTACCCGTGGGGGGGCTGCGCTGTCCCCGCGGACAGTCCCCAAGCTGCAGCTGTGGCTACGAAGGGCTGGCAGGTTTATACACAGCTGCGGGCTCCACCCCGGGGAGGGCTGGACGGGAGCCTAAAGGCGGGGACAGAACAGGAGCTCAGCACAGCCCTTCCACGCTCAGAGCTCGAATGTTCTGTCCCCGGAGTCTAGGTGTCACCCAGGTTTCTCAGTCATTGGAAAGGAATGTTCTCGAAGTCTTAAGAATGAGGGACATATGTTTCCCTACAAAAGATAAGGCGGTTGGGGGGAAAAATCCACCCCATCCCTGCCCTTGACGAGGAGCGTGTCTGCATCAAAAGAGGGACACAGAGGGAGAGAGAGGAAGAACCAGCACCAGCCGCAGCAGCAACACCAGAAATTACCAAACCCACCCAAGCCAGAACAGAGATCTGGGTTCCTTTTAAACATTCTTTAACCACAGGAGGAGCAGATCATCACACAGCCCAGTAAGCAGCAGACACAGAGTGAGAAGGTTCCAAGTAAAATATTTAATCTGTTTGAAACGAAAACAACGTGGTATCAACTATTCTGCACGCTTTAATTATACAACATGTACTAGCAAGCATTTCTTGGAAAATAACGGGTACTATAACGCAAATCTACGTTTCACTCCCAGCTTTTCTGCAAAACTAGTTTAGAGATCTTCAGTTAAATCTCTTACCCTTTGGTTCCTCAGATTGCTCGTTTATGAAACTAAAATACTTGTTCTTGTCTTCCGGATTTGCTTTGAGAAGCAAAAATGATGGATATGAATCCCCTTAATAAAGTGGGAAGTGACATACAAATTTATTTAACAAACACTAGCTTTGTAAGGACTAACCACAGCGGGGGATTGGCTAAGGGGCTAAGTGATAAACATTTCTACCCTTGAGGAGCTAAGAGCCGATGGTGACACACATACATATTTCTTTTTTTTAAATTTTATTTTATTTTTTATTTTTATTTATTTTTTACTTTAACTTCTCAATATACATTGTAGTCGATTTTCGTGTCCCTTTACCCATTCCTTTCCGCCCCTCCAATCCCCCCAATACATCATATCTGTGCACTTGTCTTAACAAGTACAAGGAGTTGTTGTGATTGTTGTGTCTTCTTCCCCCCCCCCACTTTGTTTGTATATTTATTTTTTTTTTTATTTTTTTTTAGCTCCCACAAATAAGTGAGAACATGTGGTATTTCTCTTTCTGTGCCTTACTTATCTCGCTTAATGTAATTTTTTTCTAAGTCAATCTATGTTGCTGCGAATGGTAGCATTTCATTCTTTTTTACAGCAGAGTAGAATTCCACTGTGTAGATACATCACAGTTTCCTTATCCACTCATCTGATAATGGACATATGGGCTGGTTCCAGCTCTTGGCTACTGTAAATAGTGCTGCAATAAACATGGGAGTACACATATTCCTTAAACATGATGATTTCCATTCCTCTGGGTATACTCCCAGCAGTGAAATAGCTAGGTCATATTGTAGATCTATCTGTAATTGTTTGAGGAACCTCTAAACCATTTTCCATAAGGCTGCACCATTTTGCAGTCCCACCAACAGTGTAGGAGGGTTCCTTTTTCTCAGCAACCTCACCAGCATTTATCATTCTCAGTCTTTTGGGTATTAGCCATCCTAACTGGAGTGAGATGGTATCTCAGTGTGGTTTTGATTTGCATTTCCTGAATGCTGAGTGATGTTGAGCATTTTTTCATGTGTCTGTTGGCCATTTGTATATCTTCCTTTGAGAAATACCTATTCAGCTCCTTTGCCCATTTTTTAATTGGGTTATTTGGGTTTTTTCTAATAAAGTTGTTTGAGTTCCTTGTATATTCTGGATATTAATCCTTTGTCAGATGTATATTTTGCAAACATTTCCTTCCACTCTGCTGGTTGTCTTTTCACTCTGTTGATTGTTTCTTTTGCTGTGCAGAAGCTTTTTAGTTTGATATAATCCCATTGTTCATTTTTGCTTTGGTTGCTTGTGCTTTGGGGGTCATGTTCATGAAATCCGTATGCACTCCTACTTCCTGGAGTGTTTCCCCTAAGTTTTCTTTAAGGAGTTTGATTGTTTCAGGATATATATTTAATTCTTTAACACATTTTGAGTTGATTTTGGTATATGGTGAGAGTTTTGGGTCTAGTTTCTTTCTCCTACATATGAATATCCAGTTTTCCCAGCACCATTTGCTGAAAAGGCAGTTTCTTCCCCAGTGTGTAGACTTGGTGCATTTGTCAAAGATCAGATGGCTGTAGGTGTATGAGTTGATTTCTGGGTTCTATATTCTATTCCATTGATCCATGCATCTGTTTTTATGCCAGTACCATGCTGTTTTGGTTATTATAACTTTGTAATGTAGTTTAAAGTTAGGTACTGCTATGCCTCCAGCTTTTTTTTTTTTTTTTTTTGCCCAGGATTGCTTTGGTTATGCATGATCTTTGTTATTCCATATAAATGTCTGGATATTTTTTTCCATTTCTGAGAAAAATATCATTGGAATTTTGATGAGGATTGCACTGAATCTGTAGATCACTTTGGGTAATATGGATATTTTCACACCATTAATTCTTCCAATACAAGAGCATGGGATATCTTTCCATCTTTTTGTGTCCTCTTTAATTTCTCTCAGCAGTGGTTTGTAGTTCTCTTCATAGAGATTTTTCACATCCTTAGTTAACTTTATTTCTAAGCAATTTATTTTTTTGGTGACTAGTGTAAATGGGCTAGCTTTCTTGATTTCTTTTTCTGCATGACAACTGTTGGAGTATAGAAATGCTATTGATTTTTGTTTCTTGATTTTGTATCCTGCAACTTTGCTGAAATCATTTATCAACTTTAAGAGTTTTTTTGTAGTGGTTTTAGGCTGTTCAATACACAGGATCATATCATACACAAACAGGGACAGTTTGACTTCATCTTTTCCAGTCTGGATGCCCTTTATTTTCTTCTCTTCTCTGACTGCTCTGGCTAATACTTCCAACACTATGTTGAATAGGAGTGGTGAGAGTGGGCATCCTTGTCTAGTTCTTGTTCTTAAGGATGATATTGGCATTCCATTCAGGACGATATTGGCAGTGGGCTTATCATATATGGCTTTAATTGTGTTGAGATACTTTCCATCTATACCTAACTTGTAGAGAGTCTTTATCATGAACGAATGTTGAATTTTGTCAAATGCATTTTCAGCATCTATAGAAATGATCATATGGTTTTTGTCTTTGCTTTCATTGATGTTGTGTATCACATTTATTGATTTGTATATGTTGACCCGACCTTGCATCCCTGAGATGAATCCCACTTGATCATGGTATATAATTTTGTGTACATGTAGCCGAATTCTGTTAGCTAGTATTTTATTGAGGATTTTTGCATCTATATTCATCAAGGATATTGGCCTGTAGTTTCATATTTTTGATGCTTCTTTGTCTGGTTTTGGTATCAGGGTGATGTTTACCTCATAGAATGAATTTGGGAGAATGGCCTTTTTGTCAATATTTTGGAATGGTTGGTAGAGAATTGGTATCATTTCCTCTTTGAAGGTTTGGTAGAACTCTGCAGTGAACTGTCTGGTCCTGGGCTTTTCTTTTTTGAGAGTCTTCTCATAACAGCTTCAATCACTTTTATTGTTATCAGTCTGTTCAGATTTTCTATATCATCTTGGCTCAGTTTTGGTAATTTGTATGTGTCCAGAAATTTATCCATTTCCTCCACATTTTCAAATTTGCTGGCATATAGTTGTTTATAGTAGTCTTTACTGATTCCTTGTATTTCTGAGGTATCAGTTTTAATATCACCTTTTAATTTCTAATTTTTGTTATTTGGGTCTTCTCTCTTCTCAGTTAGCCTTGCTAAAGGTTTCTCAATTTTATTTATCTTTTCAAAAAATCAACTTCTTCTTTCATTGATCATTTGTATCATTGTTCAGATTTCAATTAAATTTAGTTCTGCTCTGATCTTAATTATTTCTTTAGATCTACTAATTTTGGGTTTGGATTGTTCTTGTTTTTCTAGTTCTTTAAGGTGAAGTGTTATGTTGTTTTTTTGCCATCTTTCCATTCTTCTGAAGTAAGCATTTATGCGATAAATTTCCCCTTTAATACTGCTTTTGCAGTATCCCACAGGTTTTGGTATGATGTGTCATTATTTTCATTAGTTCAAGAAATCTTTTGATTTCCTGTTTAATTTCTTCTTGGATCCATATGTCATTAAGTAGAATGTTGTTTAATTTCCATGTGTTTGTATAGTTTCCAAAGTTTCATTTGTTATTGATTTCTAACTTTAATCCATTGTGATCTAAAAAAATACACAGAATAAATCCAATTTTTTTGAATTTGTTGAGACTTGCTTTGTGACCTAACATGTGGTCTGTCCTGGAGAATGTTCCATGTGCTGATGAGAAGAATGAATATTCTGAGGTTGTTGGATGGAATGTTCTATAGCTATCTGCCAAGTCCAATTGGTCTAAAGTTTTGTCTAGATCTTGTGTTTCTCTATTGATTTTTTTGCCTAGATGATCTGTCCAATGTTTAGAGTGGGATGTTCAGGTTCCCTGCTATTGTGGTATTAGTGTCTGTCTCATTCTTTAGGTCTAATAGTGTTTGCTTTGTAAATATGGCTGCTCCAATGTTGGGTGCGTATATATTTATGATTGTTATATCTTCTTAAGGGATAGATCCTTTTATCATTATGTAGTAGCTTTCTTTATCTCTTTTTATGGTTTTTTGCTTTAAAGTTCATTTTATCTGATATAAGAATAGCTACTCCAGCTCATTTTTCATTTCTATTTGCATGGTATATCTTTTTCCATCCTTTCACTCTTAGTCTATGTTTGTCTTTATAGGTAAGGTGAGTCTCTTGAATGCAGCATATTGTTGGGTCCATCTTTTTAATCCAGTCTGTCAGTCTGTGTTTTTTGAGTGGGGAATTTAACCCATTTACATTAAGAGTT